TCAAGCAGACATGGTGCACCTACCGTAAGACGTCGTCGTATCATGATGGAGGTAGAGCATGCCAGGTAAGCTTGGGTGCACGAGGTTGGAAGGAAACCAGGAACATTAACGGCTGCATCAAATGCACTAAGTATTACAACAATCTATATGTACAGTACAACAAGTTTACACAACCGCGCTCGCGACCGTATGTACAGTACATCTCACATCTACACCAAGCACGAATGTCGTCATGACTGCCTTATTGAATACTCGCGGCGCGTGCTCTGAGACTGCACCAAAGGCGTCTCCGAGTCCACGCTCGAGAAACTACTGTTGCTATCACTGCGCACCAAAGGCACGATCCGTCGCTCAGCCATCTGCGGCGTCTGCTGGGATGTCAGCGTGAAGGGCGTGATGCCGACCGCCTCGGGGGATGACAGGTCCAGCGCTTTGCGTGGGGTGCTGAAGGTGGGCAGGACGTTGGTGTCTGGCAGGAGCCGCTTCGTGGTGACGAGGAGGATGACGTTGATCAATCCTGAAGGGAAGAAACTTAATGATAATACAGATAGGGCGAAGGTGTGGGGAGTTGTTTTACCGTTCAGGTTGAAAATGAAGTCGCAGGCGATGGTTACCCAGGGTGGCAGGTTCATAGCGAGCTCGGTCATGCGAGCCAAGGCGATTGGGAGCAGCAACAGGCTATACGCGATCTGCAAGTGCATACCATCGTGGGTCGACAATCAACATCCGTTTCCCCATAGATGACATCGACAGACAGAGCACTCACAGGGTACCTGTCAAGCCACATTCGCTCAGCATTGCCTCGAAGTAGGATGTGAACGGGAAGAAAGGAACTCACCACACCATGTGCGCGGCGACGCGCACTATTGCAGAGTCGATGTAGTCGCGCGTGATCGCGAGCTGCCAGCTTTGGCCCCGGGGGACCCAGCGCAGGTGCCATTTCCCTTCGGTCTTGATCAGGTTGCCGCGGACTCGAAGGAGAATCGCGCTGTACAGGAAGAAGCCGACGCCTGCCGAGACGAACTCCTGCGTACGTCAAGTTGATTGGTCGAGCCTACGGTAATATGCTGGGATATATACGCACTAGGAAATACTCGAGGAAGAACTGCTCGCGAGGGTAGTTGGGAGTAATCCAACACCTGTGTGAATGTCTGTTAGAATGTACCGGAAGGGGGGAAGGAGACTCCGCCCACCAGAGACCAGAGACGCCAAAGTAAGGACCATCCTTGGGCTTTGTGATGACCGTCGGGCCAAGAAGGACTATGAACAAGACCATGGCCCACCCGAACGCGAGTGAGATGTACAAGCCCGCCTTGGTAGACTTCCAGCGGAGGAAGAGCAGGTGGAACAGGTGAGCTGCGACCATGAAAGCCCTGCATAGACTCTGAGCGCCGGAAACACAGAGTTCTGCTACAGATACCTACCATACTGCAGTCGCAATATTTCCCGCATGTTTGAGGGCCCCTGTAGAGAGCACTCAGTTTTCTGGCTAGTGAAAGGCCGCGTGAAAGCGGAAGTCCTACCTTGCACTGCGCAGAATCTGTCCCCGAAGACGTAACCGTGGCGTACCCATCTAGCGTTCATGATTGTACCGACGGATTGAATAACATTAGCGAGTAAGAGTGAAATGAAGTAGGGCCTGAGGTGGGTATCCTTCCGCGCCAGTGTACGAGTCGCTCCCGTCTTGGCAATATTAGCTGCTTCAGACACGACCTCGCTTGGTGTCATAACATAGCTACTTACTAGAAAAGCTATAGTAACAGCAAGGACAGATAGACATGCAGCCACGACAATCACCTACGCGCTCAAACTTAGAGACAAATAAATGACCATGGACGGATTCGGACTGCACTCACCACCACGCCCGCCGCTTCATACGATGCGTAAATAGTGGGTTCCATACCAGCTCACTTGAAATGTTCTTCACGCCTGCGCAAGAAGAAATGAAGAAAGAAAATCTAAGACAGAGCAAAACGAAGGGAAGTGGGGGGCACGCAGTGTCCACTGCACCCCGGGAGGCTGACATGTCGTTATATCTATCCTGCCAGCCGCCCTAAACGTCCTGATCTCTGCCTAACGACCCGGGTCCGGTCTGGGCTGATATGACCAGTATACATGGGAAGTCGAGTGTTATTATTGAGCTGCGATAGACCAGCACATCAAGCCGTCAGCGCGCCTTGATGACCTCCCGGTGCTGGAAGGTGAACTTGATGCTGCGTGTGTAACCCTTTTCAGGAAATAGTGGCCACGTGGTATGCCGCCGGTATGTTTTCTCCACGACTCCTCGTCTGCTCGACGCGTAGGCGTCTTCAGTTGGTCTTCAGTTTCAGCTTTCCTTTCTTCCGATTCTCTGGGATTATACGACGAGGACGTGCTCGACGTGTCTACCCGCGACGGATGAGGCGTCGCCGAAGGCTTTGACATGGACACTCACGTCTCTCCACGAGCGTCGAGCGAATGACATATCATTTCATCCCGCGGATGGCCTCGATGAGAACCGCAGAGAGGACGTACAGGCAGGAGAGACTAACTGTACATCCCAGGGAGACCCGCGTTCCAGTGTTTCCTAACGTTCCCTTCCAGCCCGACTTTCTTCTCTAAAAGCACGCCAGAGCGGCCCCCCTTAGTGACCCTGCATATCGACGATGGCGGAGTTGTTTGGGATGCTAAGGGGGTCCCCTCGAGCGCAGGGACACCGTACGTGCATCTTATCCTGTGGTGCGAAGCATATCGCGGACTTTGTGTTATGCGGCTACCTACTGGATGTATGCGCGCCTGGCGAGCTGCACCCCGCGGATCTGAACGCCCTGTGAGTATTGACTTTACTCTTCGACACTCTGGCTCCGCGCCAGACACCCGTATCATGTCGGAGCGAACACACCGCTCTCGTGTCGCCAATTTGCTCCTATTACGTGTGTGCCGAAGTAGGTTCAGGTGATTCAATTCGACCTGTGCGCAGCCTTGACAGTGGCAGTCGTCGCCTTCGCCAGATTCGTCCTTCCCTGCCACCCCCCGTACTCGCTGTCATGACCATCTACCTCCAGACCCCTTCCATGAACTAGATAGGTACATAGGTAACCCCTCCACCGAGCCCGAGCCTGAGCCCACATGATGCGAGCTTCACATCCAGAGACGACTCCCTCGTCGATGCTGCCCCGGCTGCCCCGCACTCTGGTATATTCCACTTGATGGAGGAACCGCCTGCGGGGTGGCCAAGAACGGAAAGCTGATGGGCTTGGTTCGGTTTCTTTGGCATCGCAGTGCACTGAAGCCTGGTTCCTACAAGTTACGTGGATGGGAGAGCGGGTGGTAGACATCAGGTGAAGAGACGCGACGTTCGTCGGTCGTGTCGCTTTTATTTCCGACAAGCGCTGGGCAATAAATGTGATACGACCGGCGATGTACTCGTCCCCGCATCGAGTCTCAGGTACGTTGCACACTACAGCTTGGACGTGGTGAAGGAGTGTACCCAGATGGGGTCTCCTCTCCTTTGGGGGCTCCAGATGACGAGCGCCGTCTAGAGCTGAATGCGAGCCGGGGCGGCTTACTGCAAGGTACGCTATCATCTCGCTTCCTAGCGAATATCGCATTACTGCTATATATTCAAGTTCCCAGTCACAGTGGGACCGCACAGGTCGGGCCATCAAATCACGACTCCTTATCTACATACAGACACCTTGCGAGATGCTGTTGTATCAGGATCGCAGTAGACAACAGATGCGCTCATACCACGCTATTATTGTGATTACTATGTAGCAATGGTTTGTATCCGCCGGGCATTGCAGTAGATACTACCTCCGTACACCCCCCTTCCGCGTGCTGCCCGCTCTCAGCTCTAATTGCGCTAGGGGTGGTTGAGCGGAATATAGAACGGAGACGGACGCCAGATGATGGTTATGCAGTTCCTTGCAGCGAAGGGACAGACCTGCCCCCGCTGGATAGGACGGTTATTGGACACCACATGGCCTGCGGCTGAACGCCTTCAGATTGGCCTGAGTATTGGGGGCACGTGCACTTCATAGTGAGCGGCTTAGAGGTCCTCGATTAGGCCCGTTGTTGATTCGGGTACGCTAGCCAGTGGAGGTATGAGACTGCGTAGCCTCTCTCCCTTGTACCAGAGCCCTGGTCGGCCTCCGCCGCCCGAAGGCTCCCGCTCCCAACGTATGTCGATCTCGCCGCCCAAGATACCGCTCTCCCCAGCCAACGCGGGGTTCCAGAACGCCGCATTGATAGCTCCGTCTCCCTCCGCGGGAAAATGAAGCAGGAAGAACGGCACGCTGGACGAGTTTGCTCGGAGGAGGGTCGCGGCGGTAAACGCAGACTCGGATATGAGGAGCGCGACGGCGGCGTCGGTGCGCTGGCGCGACATGACGCCCTCCATCTCGCGCACGTAGTTCGGGCCCATCTTCTTCTTCTCGGCCTTGCACTGCGCGAGGACGCGGACGCGCCGGGGGTGTTCTGCATCTGCGGTCCTGGACGGGAGCCACCACCAGCCCTGGAGGTCGACGCCGCCGTCGGCCTTGCCGCCGACGCGCTGGAGGGACATGGAGAGGTGCGCCTGGAGGATGCGCAGCGAGCGCAGCTCGAAGGCGACGCCGCGGTGGACGGCGGAGGCGACCATGGCGGCGTGGCGTATCGTCATCGGGGATTTGTCGCGGGGCCATTTTCTCTGAATTCGCGGAGGAACAATTTACCCACGCCACCGTCCCCAAAGGACGCGACCTTCCTTTTCGGGATATGTTTTGATGCACGATGGACGGTGTCAAGCCAGAAAACACAGCGAATGCGGGGGCGTATGTCGGCGACAGCCATCGAGAGCGGCCCAGGCAACGCTGAAGTGCCCGCAGGCGCAGCAGAGTGGGGACAGCAGCCCAAGTTGGCCCGGCGGTTGTGCAGGTGGCGCGGTTCTGTGCCCCAACGGATCGTATCTGCCCCAGACGGGGCGTATATAATGCGCAGGCGTCGTTGCTCGTCATTACGGCGCCCTCCTTTCGTCTTTTCTGTCTCCTTTCTTTCCTCTCTTGTACGGTGACTGCAATGTCCTCCGTCTACCCGTCGCGCAAGTCGCCGCCGCCCGAGATGGCGACCTACACGCCGCCGCTGACGCCGCCGTCCGAGCCCACCAAGCGGCTCAAAAATCTCGAGCCGGAGCCCATCGACATCAACATCCCCGACAACTACGTCCAGCACACGCTCAAGACGCAGAAGGAGCTCCCGCCTATCACCTGGAGCAACTGGTACCGCGAGCTGCAGTGGATCAGCGTCCTCGCGCTCACGATCACACCTGCACTTGCGATCTACGGCGCGTTTACGACCAAGCTCACATGGCAGACGGGCCTCTTCAGCGTCTTCTACTACTACGTGACTGGCCTCGGTAAGCCCACCGCTTGTTCTATTTCCTCGCGCCGCTAATTAGTGGGTATATGCGCATATACGCAGGTATCACCGCCGGATACCACCGTCTGTGGGCGCACCGGTCGTACAACGCCTCCAAGCCGTTGCAGTACTTCCTCGCGCTCGCGGGCTCGGGCGCCGTCGAGGGCTCCATCAAATGGTGGTCGCGCGGCCACCGTGCGCACCATCGCTACACCGACACCGAACTCGACCCGTACTCGGCCCAGAAGGGCTTCTGGTGGTCGCACGTCGGCTGGATGCTCTTCAAGCCGCGCCGCAAGCCCGGCGTCGCCGACGTCAGCGACCTCAGCCGCAACGAGGTCGTCAGGTGGCAGCACCGCTGGTATGTCTGGCTCATCCTTGGCATGGGCTTCGGGCTCCCGACTGTTGTCCCGGGCCTGCTCTGGGGTGACTGGTGGGGCGGGTTCTTCTACGCGGGTGCTCTGCGCCTGACGTTCGTGCACCATGTAAGTCGTCAGTGCTTACATTTTACGATTGGAGGCTGATGTTATTTGGCAGTCGACGTTCTGTGTCAACTCCCTAGCGCACTGGCTGGGAGAGACGCCGTTCGACGACAAGCACACGCCCAGGGACCACGTTATCACCGCGCTCGTCACCATCGGCGAGGGCTACCACAACTTCCACCACCAGTTCCCCATGGACTACCGCAACGCCATCAAGTGGTACCAGTACGACCCGACAAAGTGGTTCATCATGGCCTGCCAGTGGGTCGGCCTCGCGTCACATCTCAAGGTCCGTTCGAGCTTGATTATATGCCGGATGAGACGCATATACTGATGCTTTGGGGATTTAGACGTTCCCTGATAACGAAGTCCGCAAAGGCCAGCTGACTATGCAGCTCAAGCGGCTCCGGGAAACGCAGGAGAAGCTCACCTGGGCACCGGATAGCAACGACCTGCCCATTGTCTCTTGGGACAGCTGTAAGTTCTCGCGCATGCACTCATCTGCGGTGACGATAACTGACGTGTCCTCGTAGTCCAGGAACAGTCGGCGAAGCGTCCGCTGATCTTGATTGCTGGCTTCATCCACGATGTCGCGTCCTTCTTGGACGAGCACCCTGGCGGCCGGCATCTGCTCGTGAAGTACATCGGCAAGGACGCTACGACGGCGTTCTTCGGCGGTGTCTACGATCACTCCAACGCCGCGCATAACGTGAGTGGCCTGTTTCTTATCTCTTATCCACGTCGGGCGGAAAGCTGATGTCGTATGCTACTGCAGCTGCTCTCGATGCACCGCGTTGGCATCCTGCAACACGGCTACCGCCAGAGCTTGGACGATAAGGCCATCCCGCCCGCGCAGCGCCTGCGGATTGCGCGGTACAACGAGCTCGGGTCATCGACGGCCGTGTCGGATGCGGAGACGCTAGTGGGGGAGAAGGAGGAGAAGGAAGCGTAGATAGATTGAGAGATGTTCTGCTCATTAGATGATTGGTTGTTTTACTTTTACGAGGTTCACGTTATGAACGAAACCAAAGGCGCCGTGCGCGAATGTTCTTTGCGGCGGTCGTTGTAGATTAATTAGGTGTAGAGGAAAGTAGAGGCTGCTGCGGCGATGAATTACATCGGATCGGACGCGCTATTACTAAGGCAATGCGTTATGCGCCTGTATCGGTGTTCCAGTGCCCCGTTGAAGGGCTGATCATTGCCTCGATAGGAATGGTCTGCTTTGGGAGTCAGTGATCTGCTCTTGATATAACAAGCTCTGTGTCTACATGTCAGCTTATATACTGCCAACATATTTGGCTTAAGCTTGCTTCGAATCATGAGAGGCTCTCATGGGCCTTGCTTCGAAAGTTCAGTTTGGGAGGCTGCTTGACACCTTTGAGTTGAAATACAGTGCTTCGAAAATCCAGCTTTATGTATTGCTGCTGGAGGAGGGGGCCCTGCTGACCTATGCCCCTGAAATCGAAGGTTGGGGTGGGTGAAGAGAGGTTGAGAGGATGATAAAAGGGAGGGGGGTGTCTGGGATTTTTATTTGACCACCAAGATGCCTTCAGGATGTGCAAGCGAGGATGACCTGGGGTGGTATCCTGGTTTTCTGGATGCAGATTTGCTGGGTGAGTGCAATATTATTATATGTTCTGGTCTCGATAGACACGCCCCGAGCCTGAGTGTGGTTTTGACTCCGCAGCTGTGTTGGGCGCCGCGGGAGAAGGAGAAGGAGCGGGCTGTGCTGATGGTGTGGGCGCTCGCGGGCCCGGGGGTTCTTCGGTGAGTGCGCTTTGCTCCCGGCGCGACGCGTCGCGTTCTGAGTGAAATTATGCTGTGGAATATTGTATCGATATAGGATGCGTCCTTGCTCGGCATCGAGTGTGTTAACAAGGACGGCGTGCGCGGGAGTTCACAGGTTCGTCACGGTCTTATGCATGCATCGTGGTGCAAATGCTTTGATTACCGGTGCTTACTAGTATATGCGCGACATGGACGCGTTTCTCCAGGGCTATTATGATGATATTGACGACAAGGCGCTCGCCAGTATGGATTTAACACGTGAGCTGCGCTGTTCTGGTGTTAAAACGGAAACGATGAGACTAACCGCACGCATGTCGATACCAGCGGTCGCCCCGAGGTCGTTATCCCGGCGCGCGACGGAAGGCGATAACGCGGGTCTGTATATGCGTCTTGCCTAAGTATGCTATTCCGAGCTGATTCGTATGGCCGCAGGTTCGACGTCGCGGCCACCGGAAGTCGTTGGAGCCCAATCCCGTGTCCCAGCAAAGCGCTCGTATTCCGAGTCTGATGCCGCAAGTGGTGGCAAGACAGCCCAGGGATCCGCGCAGAAGTGCCCACGCACTGACCCTGATGCGCCTGTCCTAGTCGTAAGGACGCCCGTTGTATGCGCGAGTCTGTCTGACACGCGTGTGCTCGCCAGGCGCAGGGATCGTGGCACTGGCAAAAGGCAATAGAGAAACTCTGCGTGGGCGTGCGGTGGGAGGTCGCGCGCGTCGTGTCGCTGGGGTTGAAACACCCCACCGCCTCGTCGGAAACGGCGAGGTACCTCACCTACGACGCGCTCAAGCTCGACTGGCTGAATAAGCTTTGCGGTGGAGACAAGGATGGCGCGAACGCGAGGTTCGCCCCCAGAGCTGCGAGGTCCATCTACGTGAACTGGATGAGTGAGGGTAACGATGAGATGGATCCGCGGAACGGGGATATGGAAACTGCATTCAAGAGAGAGAGAGATGCGAAGGTGATGCGTCGTGCTTATCACACAAGCCATCGCTGACTCCCAATAGTCCCCGTGGCAAGCGCTAGACGAAGAGGAAAACATGCTCAAGGACCAGAAGAGGGGAGATGGCTCCGCCCCATTCAACGGAACAGTGTGGTTCCACGCAAAGTTGAAGAAAGCGGAGCGCGGAGCGCTCAAGATCGAGTTGCAGCCACCGACGCTTGGCCCCTCGTGTCGATTCACGCGGAAATTCGGGTCTGCGAGCCACCTGCGGGTCAGCCTCCCCAAGGAGAAGGGTGGCGTCGGTGCGGAAGCTCTGCAGGCATGGTTCATCCGCCCGTTCGTCATTAATGGACAGGTTTTCCGTGCATTTTACGAGAAAGAACGGACGGTCTTCTTGTTCCGGACGGCTGAGGTGTATGATCCGAGAACCGAGTCCATTATGCCCGACCAGAACGACCGATGGTCCCTTCAACGCTTCTTAGACTGGCATAATCCCATGGAACTGAATCAGAACCAAGTGAGTGCTGCTCGAGAATGTGGGGCATCTAGCTCACTCCCTGTCAGACCATTGGGAAATGGGCTTTCCGTATGGGGTTGGGTCTATCGAGCTCAGTGGCAGGTGTTGGCCTTGCTCCGGACCATGTTCACCCCATCGATGAACAAAGTAGGTCTTCACTCCTGAAGAAGGACAGGAATTTACGTGCAGCAAGTCTCTGCAATTTGGCCAGCATACAAGCTTCACCACCCCGAAGTGAAGAAACCACCCAGTTGGATGGAGATGACAGACGGTTGCGGCTTCATCAACCGAGCGGGGCTGCGTGCTCTCCGGAAGACACTTGAATGGGACTATCTGCCGGTCGCTGTGCAGGTGCGTGTCAGGGGCGCGAAGGTAAGTAACAATTCGCGTTTCATCGGCTCCGCGTATTCAGTGCGTGCCACAGGGCCTACTGCTTTTGCATCCCGGAGCAGCCGAGAATGAGGACCCCGAGCCGCGGATATGGCTGCGACCATCTCAAGAGAAGATCAAGTACGACCCGGGGGTAGTGCTGTCAGACTCGACCCTGTCCACTATAGACGTCCTGAGGCCCGCGCATATGAGGACACCGTCGCGCCTGTCCGGGGAAGTGATGGTGAACCTCGGCGAGAACGGAGTGGATCCCCAGGTGCTCGTCAATCTCATGGAAACCGCTCTGGACGACTGTATCAACTCGTTGACAGACTGGGAAGGAGAAGACGGGTGCATCAAGCTGTGGCACGCTGTTGACAAGACTTGGGGCGTGCGAGGGGCGCGACTCGCTCGGCAGGAAGCCGTACGTGCGCGCGCTTGCGGACTGACGGGGAAAGACTTCTCATTGCATGCTGACGACGGTGAGGACGACGATGAGGAAGGGATCGATGGCGTCCCAGAGAATGCAGTTAAGGATCGGTCGACGGCATGGTGGCCAGACGAGATCAGTGGCTGTCCGTCATCACTTCCCGAAACTGTCATCGAGCTTTTGTCGAGCGGGTTCTCCCCGGACTCTTGCATCGTACTGAGGAGGAAATATCGAGAGGCCATCAAGAAACTTATAGAACGGAGGAAATCGAGCCTTTTCATTCCGACTCCGATGACCGCAAGGGCTTGGATTGTCCCAGGTGCCGTGACCATTTATTGATTCTCTAGATTTCAAGCTGGATATGTGCTCATTCACTGTAGATCCAGTTGGAGTGCTCGCGATAGGTGAAGTACATATCAAAAGTTCTCAACGAAATTTGAAGATGAAAACACCTGACGGGGAAGAAGTGTCAACTGACATACTCGAGGGGGATGTGTTGGTAGGTTCCTCGTCTGCCGCGAATATGCAGATACAATATATCATTCATGAAAACAGATCACTCGGAATCCCTGCAAATTACCCACGGACGTGAAGAAGGTAGTACTTTTATTACTGACTATCTTGGAAATGCTGAGCAAAGAGGTCGGGGACTCTGTCAGGTCAAGGCCGTTGTCTACCCCGAGCTGAAAGATTATGTCGATGTCATCGTCCTCCCAGTAACCGGATTTCGAAGTCTGGCATCCGAGCTCGCTGGGGGTGGGTTCCTCGGCTTCCTCCTTGAGCTGTATTGACTCTCCTCAGGGGATTATGATGGCGACGAAGTCCTGGTGATCCACGATCCTCGTATTGTCCAGGGCTTCCATAATGCTGACAGCAAATATCTGTGGGAGCCAGCCTCCGTAACCAGGGACATCGATGAAGACAAGACTCTGGTATCTGACTTTTTACGGCTACATAGGGAATCCGACAACCTCGCTCGTGAACAACAGAAGGTGGTGCTCGCCAATCTCGGCAGTGATAGTTTAAAGGGCCTCTATTCGACGATGCACGACTACGTTGTGTACACAAGAGGCTACCATGATCCTGATGCTATCCGTCTGGCTTATCTGTGAGTTTCAGTAAATAGATTAGTAGTGCCGAGTTGACTCGTTGTCACATTCATAACAGATTCAGTGGCGTTGCTTTGGATGGCATGAAGAGCGGGAAGAAGATCAAAGTTGAAGCTTCGCGAAGGGATCGCCGTCAATTTCTGGCTGGTAAACCGTGGTGGGCACTGGCGACGGCGATCACCGAAACCCAGAACCCAGTGTGTGCCAAGCGTGCTAATTCACGGTGCTTTGTCCTGGACGCTGTCGTGCGGGCGGCTCAAAAGGCAGCGGAGCGGCATCTCGTCAAGATTGATCGATTGCTGCAAGATAATATGGCTCGCGACCCAATAGATCAACATCTACTGCGACCGTGGGCTGCAGCGCGGTCAAGCGCTGAGCAGCAGCAGGAAACCAAGATCGGCGCGTTGAAGACGCGGGACCTGGACCTGATTGAGAAACACGTACGAGATATTTTCAAGGAACGGCAAGACGAGATGCGGCTCAAACCAGATCAGTCGTTCACCGTCCGGCCTATCGTGTCCAGGCAAGATGTCCTGCGGCAGGTATCATGGGACTTCGCATCCGCTCCATCTCTCGACCAGATGCTCATCTACAACGAGGACGACGACTTGCTCCAGCGACTGAAGGCGTCGTGCGCTTACACACTTTATCATACACGCGGGGTTTATTCTCCTTTTCCCTTCGATGTGGCATTTCGCGTTCTCTGCGATATCAAGGCGAAGGCGGCTGGCGGATCCAAGACGCTTCATCACGACTTCGCAGCTCACCACGCCTTGCACAAAGTGTTCCTGAAGAAGTGATGCATTTTGGTTATCGATCGGGCTGAGCTGGCGTTATTGTCTCAAGACTGTATCTGTTGCAGTGACCATGTACCGAATTAAGCACGGAATTGAAGTTGTACGGACCAAGGAGAACCTCACGATGTGTTGTGCCAGTGGGCGGACGGCACCAGATCGCTTCTAAATGCATTACTGATTCCGCGACCCCGTGCAGCCCATCAACGGGCATCTGCTGCAATGAGGTCGTAATCAAGACTCAATTCTATTGGTCCTAGATGCTCTTTGGTTACTCCATCGGTGTGGCGCGGTGAGACCATGAATGCGACTTCTAGGCTTTTGGCTAACGCATACACCCCATCCTCTGCCGAGCATGGAATTGCACCAGGAGCGCAGAAGAAAAGTTGCGGCGATTCCGCATAATTATGAACCTCGCTGTAAGTTGCCGTACATTATATGGCACCACAGTGCACTTTGCCATACATTGGGTTAGTGGGTGAGGTACTGTACGTGGGATCTCCCTCAGGCTGCGAGTTCCCATAAATTGGGCCAGTCATATGCCGCCTTATGGGGGCGCGACCGAGATGCTGTTGGACGGAGCGGTTCTTCGGGTTCATCTTCGTCCTCCCCACTGGCATCGCCTGCGGCCAGGAGCGAGAAAGTCGATGCTAGCCATCCCGCTTCCATCCCAGACTCCCAAGGGCATTCCCACTGGAGTCTGGAATGGGGCGATAACACAAGATCAAAGGCAAAGCCTGGGCATGAGTACATACGCTAGACTGTGGGTACTATGTAGGCTTGGACCTGCGCCTCTCAAGTGGAACATAGTAAACGAGCAAGTGTCTTATGACGTGTGTATCACGTCCTGCGTTTCAACGAGGACATATGGCACATTCAAAAGATCAGTCTCACGCATCTCACCGAGATCAATGTTTCTGGATGCCTAACTGGTCGTTCAGCTCCTCCAGCCGCCTCTGCCAGTTCTCCACCTCCCCGAGCTTGCTCTCGAGGTTGATAATCTCGCGGTCAATGCCCATTCGCTCCTCGGCGGTACCTACGCGCGTAAGCACCGCTCTACCAGTCCCGTCCCCAGGCAGGGTCAATAGCTGTGTGTGATATCGGATTAACGACGGCCTGAACAAATACGTATCAGCGGGTGGACGGTAGTCAATCCGGACGACACGGCTCACCGCAGCGAGATCGTGATCAACGTGATTCCGAGGCTCTTGGCATGCTCGTACATCCGGCCCTCGACGTCGCTCGACACCGCGCTCGTGCACTCTACAACAATGCAGTCAGCATAGAAACACATCCGGCACCTCGGAAGGACTCCTCACCGTCGAGCACGGCGAACTTCGGCCTGTGGTAGAACACCCGCGCCATCCCCATGCGCTGCTTCTCCCCGCCGCTGAGCACATCTCGCCACTCCTTCCTCGTCCTCCACCCGCCCTCGCGCGCGGGCAGGTACGCGAGGTGCACGGCCTCGAGGATCCCCATCAGCTCCTCCTCCGTCCTGCCCGACCGCGCGAACTGCGCGTACGAGTGCGGGTAGATGATCCTGCGTAACGGGGCCCTGTCAGTGACAGCGCAGAGAGAAAGGAAGAAGGCACGCACTGGTCGAGCAGGCTCCCCGCGACCATGTACGCGCGCTGCGGCACGACGAGCACCTCGTCCGGCCGGCGCACGACGCCTGCCTGCGGTGCCCACAGCCCCGCCAGCACACGCGCGATGGCTGTCTTGCCCACGCCGTTGCTCCCCGTGATCATCAGGTGCTCGCCCGTGCGCAGCGTGATCGTCAGGTCCCGCACAAGCGGCGGGTTGATGCTCGCGCCCAGAGTCATGTCATAGTCGTACATATTCTCAGCCGCGTCGGGGTCGGCGATGGCGAAGTTGAGCGGTGGCACCCCGACGTCGACGTGCTCGAGGGTTATCTCGTCTGAGGATGAGGAGATGGAGGGAAGCGCGGGGAGCGCGTGCAGCGTTGAGAGGAGCGTGTAGAGGCGCGTCGTGAGCCCCGAGAGCTCGAGCAGGTCCTTGTACGCGTACATCAGCCGCCCGCCCGCGTCCGCGAGCGAGAGCAGCAGGCGGCGCGAAGAGATGTAGTCTGCGGTGGAGTGATGGGTTTCAGATATTTTATTTCGTTCTCACCCAGGCGTCACTCACTCTCAGTGCGGTTCGCCACTGCGTCGTCCGGGCTGTCCGAGTCGCTCTCCTGGGGCGGGCCGGCCTGCACACCGAGCGAACGGGTGCGGTTCATGAGGACGGGGATCGATATCAGACCGTACCCCGCCGCCGACCAGAGGTACTTGATCACGTAGTCCTCCGTCCACTCGTATGCGATGCGAATCTACGCACACGGTAAGGCCTGCTCGTCTACCCAGCACAGGACGAATGAGAAATACCTTGAAGATGGAGTTCACGTGCTTGATGAGCCGCAGGTACGCGCGCCAGAGGATATCGTGCTCCCTCTTCCCGCCGTCGTAGAACCTACACGCCAGTGAAGCTGTGAGCAAGCGCCGACGAACACTCACACGACTCACGCGATCTCCTCGGCCTCCCTCCCCACCCTGCCCACGCCCGCGCGGAACTCGCCCTCCAGCCGCCGCTCGACCTCGGCGAGCCGCCCGAACGCAGGCGTCACCGCGCGCAGGATGCTCGCAGTGACATAGTAGTTGACGAACAAGAGGACGGTGCCCGACGGGCCGAGCGAGCGGGAGAGGGACAGGGTGAACAGGACGAGGTCGGTGGTGGGCTTGATGAGGTTGCCGCTGTAGGCTGTGGTTAGGTGTGGTTATGGAAAGGGCAAAGGAGCGTGCGCACTAGAGCGTGGAGAGCGAGTCGGAAAAGGCGGCAATGTCGGCCGTGATGTATTGGTCTACGCCTTCGAGGCCGCCTGGCATCGCATGTCAGATAGCGTAGGCTAGAAAACACGCGGGGATTACCTTCTAAGCCCACGCGGTAGTAGCGGAGGTACGGGAAGGAGGAGAGGTAGAGGTCGTGCGTGTAGCGCGTCAGGCGGGTGCGCATGCGGAGCGACAGGCTCGACTGGAGGTGACGGATCTACGCTGTCATTAAGTACGTGAAACGGTCACCTAGTATCAGATAGTGCTTACCATCGAGTTGGTGTACGTGCTCGGGATGGCGAGGAGGAACCACAGCCCGAGGCCCTTCGCGAACCCCTTCCCGTTCGCACTCACCAGGTCCCTGACGATGCGCCCGTCGAGCTTCGCGACGCCGACGCTCAGCACCGTGCGTAGAATGAGGAAGAAGGAGTGGAGGACGAGGATGAAGGACTCGCGGCACGTTATGGAGGGGAAGGCGATGCGCAGGATGGCGGCGAGCTGGCGGAGGAAGGAGCGGGAGAGGGTCGGGCGGTGGGACGAGGAGAGGAGGGGGAAGGACTTGGCGGATGAAGAGAGTACGGAGGGGGGCGTCGGCTTGATGTTGATCTGTTTGGGGGTACAGCTGGTGCATGAGCGGCAAACGAAAATATATATTTACGGGCAATGACAGATGTCCCGCCACCACACTGTTTTTTCCTGCAGAGTCTGGGAGAGAACGTTCCTTGACCGCTTTTTAGCGGGACAGGGAAAGACATATGGAGAATGAATGTCAATTAAATCTCCCATAAATGTTGGAGGCCAGGGTGCTTGCAGGCCTATGTTCCATACCTGGGACATAATCTAGCAAGGATGCAGAGCATATCCGGCGGAGCGTATACCAGCAAAACGTCAGGAATAGGTAAGGACATCCCCAAACCGACCGGAGGTCTCCAGGGTCTGAACTTTTGGGATAATGGCCCACTATTCCAGGATCCGGCTTGATATACCCTCCACCCGATCTTCTATCATCCTACGACGTTGTCCGTTCAACCAGGATATGTTCCTGGCGTGCTCTCCGGCGATACATCGGTCACTACACGCAGTGTAAGGGAACACACCTTGTTTACTTTATCGCCGTACGGGACGAGCAGCGTCTTGCTACCGTCGGGTTCGTCGACGTACACTCTTTGCAGCGCATCTTCAACATCTTCCGGCGTCACCTTCTTTCTGCGCGCTGACTCGGTCAGCTTTGCGAGGACTGACGCCGGTACGTCCACCACACGCGATCGCAGGACGAGGAGCGACACCAGCAGCGCGAGCACCGGCGTCCGCGACTTGGGCGATAGTGCTCGCAGACGCAGTGCGAGTTCAACCATACTCGTACTTGGCAATTAGAATGGATGCGAGGAGAGGGACGGCCGTACTTCAAGCCCTGGCATTAGCATGTGAAATCCCCCCGCCACAATGGTAAAGGGTGGGAAATGTGGGGGTCGGATTCCCATGTATCCTTTACTGGGGACGTCGTGCTTTACTACGACGACGAGGAGTCGACGACAAGAGCGTTTCAACGTCGACTATGCAAGCTGCCTGATTTTTCACTGCTTGGTATTTGCCCGCAGTACCCAGTATGCTAGTAGTACGGCGGCCTTCGCTGAACCGCCTCGGACGCTCTTCAACGGATAGGTACCAGTGACACAGCCTGTCCTGCGCTTTCCAACTCTGTAACCCCCCCCCCCCGCCATGTCTGGAAGCGCAGACTTGATAGCCTGGAGACGCTCACGCAAAAATTTAAGGACTCTGAGCTCAAGAAATTGTTCATCGAGTGCCGCGCTGCGTTCAAGACGGACCGGAAGGCAGGAGAGGGCCTCACTCCGTATATCAGGGCGGACCATTCACATGAACTTGAATACACGGCGATGTATGCTCTCGCTTCTTCGTTTGGCGACTCAATAGTAGTGTAATCTACATTGCGCACAGGAAAGGCGTAGTGTCATCTAGTATATTGCAAAATGGCTCACGCCTAATCGCCTTCGACGCCCTCATGAAAGACGTTTACCAGTTCCAGGAACAGTGCGCCGCAAAGCTCCGGACTCTGGGATTCGTCTTCGGCGTGCGCCCACGCCATACTATGGGCCATACGCGAGCGTCGGGCATTTGCACCTACACGTCCCGCCGTGCCTGTCGAGCCGCGCAGGTGGGCTACGGCGGCGCGTGACTGGAAGACGGTGCCGGTGCGGGCGGTGTTAGAGGCGTTTAGGCAGAAGCAGGGTGAGGATGATCATCGCCGTCTCTGATTATGATACGCAGAGGGGGCGCACCTGATCTCGGGGTATAAGCCCCATTTGTCTGGTCGTATCGTGCAACATCGGACGTAGAGTCTCGTTTGACGGCTGCCAGAGCAGCGTTCCCTCTGACAGATAAAAACGCGAGCCTATGGAGCCAGACGGTATCTACCGAGACACTCGTGCGTCGCTTGTAGTCTTGCTTCCGCTGTTCGCAGGTCTTCAATGCATCGGTCGGTCGGCCGTGCCTCCCTGCCAATCTGTTCGACCAATTCTAGGATCCGGCCTGAACTAATAGATCACTGCAGCAAGCTGAAGCGGCCTTCGTGGTCCTATCGGATGTCTTCTCTGTCCTATGAAGTACCTTTGCTAGTAAGGTCGAGTGATCTTGTTCAATGGGGATATGCCGTCTGCACATCAGGATCTTCGCTGAGAGTGATCATGAAATAGTCGATACTGTGAGAGGCGTTTTTGGTAGCGATATATCAACTCGAGATCTGGTGTGGTGTCAAAGGCGCCGACGTTTGAGCGAATCGGGATCACAAGCTCTTCTTTGTTTGTGATGCTAGGGTTATGGTATGCAAACCCCTGATGGCGAAGTTTGATTGCTTGTAGCATTCAATCCACGACGCAAACAAGGAATTTGCAGGATGCGCGGTGAACGAAACGTGCTCGGGAGTCACAAAGATAAAATGTCGATGGTTAGCCCGCGGCTTAGTACGATATAACCCTTCCCTGAATTCGCAGATAGTCGATCATAGAAGACTTTCACAGCTCTGGCCCATTACGAAGGTTCTAATATACATCGGAGGCACACCCGTCTATCCATGCATGGGGCGAAAGTATAACATACTAATCACATATCTACCACGCCCGACAGTTAGCGCGTACGCCCGCGGCCCCGCCCGATATCGTGGTCCGACGACGTGTTCGACAGCGTGCCCTTGGACTGCGCGAACGCCGAGCGCATGCCGTCGTCTTCCGCATCCGGGTACAGCGCGCCGTTTTCTTTATTGTCGAGGTCGACCATCTGATGCGACTCCACGTGCACGAAGACCTAGGGAAGAACTCGTCAGGGGATTGCAAGTGGCCAATGGCACTGTGTGGGGACGTACCTCTGGTGACCGGCCTTGCGATAGGTTGAGCACGCCCGGCTTTAGAGGGGACGCAGGCGATCAGCGGATGAAGATAGTAATGGGAGTATACCGTACCTTCCGTGTGCGTGAAGCCTCCCTGTGGCCTGAGAGGTGGTGCCCCGTCGCCGCTTCGGGGTCACCGCCGCTCGGCTCCGTCGTGCGGTTGTACTTCCAGCCCGTCCGAGAGTTCAGTGTTGACATGAGCGAGTTGGTATACAGCTTCGAGAGCGGGAAGTTGAATGCCAGATGTCTAAAGGTAAGAACGGTAAGTCACTCGTAGGAATTGTGGTACTGAGTTAATACGGACAATCCGGATGTCTGAGGTACGAGGTCAGCAAAGGAGGTGTGCGTGAGGTTGAGGGATACGTACACTGCCCACGAAGAAAGCGACATCAAGAGTCGCGACTAAAGCCGTGATCATGCCCGTCTGTACGGTAACTGCACAAAAGGACATATATCAAAGGGCAGGGTCATGAAGCCAGCGCAACACGTACGCCGGATGATCTTGTTCACGATGTCGTCTGTCGCAGGGAATCCCGTTTTATGTCTCCTCTAGCAAAAGCGGACAAGGTCATCGCCCGTCCGAACGTTTAAGACAAGGCGTACATACCAAGTGCCACGTGAGCGCCGTCGTTATGAGAACGTCGCACACTGCATTTGAGATCAGCCAGACGATCACGATGGCCTGGAATTCCTGGAACTTGGCGAACTGAGGGATAATGCCGACTGCTATGGCCGTGCCTACACCTCCCACTAAGCCGAGGCGAAATGATCAGAATTATACTCGAGTACAGTTAGGTAGGCAAGTGAGCCCACTTACGCCCACCGCCCAATGCAGCTACCACGACCGCCACGACCAGCAGCCAGCTCCCCGTCAAGATCTTTATTCTCCATGCGAAGAAGAATTGTACGAGGCAAGCAATGATACCCTGAAAGGTGAAAGTGAGCAGAGGATGGACATTGCTAATATGCAGAGTAACGTACTGTCATTGCGGGGTCTGGTATAGAGAAGGCAGCGATCAATAAGGATTGACTTGCATAACAAATGATTCGTACCTGCGGCGAAGACTGGATTAAGCGTTGGTGAGTGGGCGCGTTTGTTCCTGTGAAGCATGCATCACGTACCCCAGTTTGCTTTTGACAGGAAATCGAGGTCGCCTGTACCGCTGATTAGCACTAGGGTAGAATCTATCTTCGACTGGCTTACCGAAATGGATGATCACCGACTGGTACATCCATATGCAATCGAATATGGTGTTGACGGTATCGGCCACGAACAGGAACACTACATAGCACTTCATCCACGCTTTATCGCTGTTTGCTAGGTGAGCTATCTGACCGGAATTGTTGACGTGAGTCCACTTACTTCTGGAAAGCCTTGAAGTATAGGAATGTCTGCGTGATCATGATACCATACAGGAGAATATTGAAGAATAGACCGATGATGGCGGGGCCATGACTATGTAGGAAAGCTGGGCGTAAGAATAATTAACTCATAATACGGACACGACGCACGCTACTGTGGCTGGGCTGGCGGCCATGGCGGACTCTCGTCAGGGCGAGGAACTGGCGGGGACTGGACCTGGCGAGGAGAATGCGCTGCACGCGAGGATCCCTAGGGTCATTGTTATATATCTCACAACGTTGGTATCCGTACTTGAATGAGAAAATTCGCGGTGTGGAATACCATCTTCGGCACCATGGATGCAAGTATTTGCGATGATGCCAGATCTCGCAAAGGGAGATGGGAAGAAAAGAATCGCGGTAGATCGGTCGATCCATGGTGACAGCAGCGTGACCCTATAGTAGTGCATAGTACCGTTGCCGAGCAGGACCAGGTCGACTTTGAGCGTCGCGAGTTCGGATTGTGGCGCTGGGGTCTCTGTGGCGTGGTTCTGTGACCTGTGGTCACATTTCCAGTAGCTAGACGTCTACCATATATAGTGTCTACTGCCATACTTGGGTGGTACTGAAGTCAACGAGGCCCAAGTGGGAGGCATTGTTCGTTCCAGCCGTAGTGAAGCTTCAACTAAGTAGCAGCTTCAATGGTGACAAGTTCAATGTTTCTCTACATTGATGATACAAGTTGCCAGGAGATGAGACTGGTCACACTCGGATTTAGTAGTAGCCTAGGACATGTACTTAATTCACCGGCTGGCTTCTGATACCAACATATAGTCCACTGATGTTAGATATCCAACCTGCTATAAAGTGCAATACATTGCTTTGAATAGCACTTTCTTCCACCGGAATTCTTGTTGGAGCCTTTGAGGCACAGGATACTTCACCAATGTACCTTGTTACCTTCCGAGTCGGGATGCATGTTAGAAAGTCACATCAATCCTGTAACGCAACCACTCCTACGATTCCATGATGAGTGTATACGAGCTATGAACCGGACTACATGGTTTGTCTAGATCTTAAACAATGAAGCAGAGTTGTCACTTATGTCATAGGCAGACCTTGGAGTAGTATTGCACAATTCATACAAAGGAGAAGGGTGCTAATTACACATATACTGTACCAGACTATGTATATAGGCTCTCTCCATACTCTCAGACCTAATAGAAGTGTACTTAGAGAGCACATAGAAGTCAACAAGCATTAGCATAGGAGAAACTCGATAGTTAGAGGTGGATGTCACTCCTTTCCATCACGCGGTGTCAGGACCCCGAGTGCAAGCCCGCATTGCTGTGCTCGATTTCCTAAAGTCGACCTGGTCCTGCTCGGCAACGGTAGCATAGTGACTCTCCTATGGCTTTCGTAGTTTTCTCCGGCTCGTTGCGAAGCCGTGGCACAATGCAGAGTGGCGGAAATTCTTCCTTTGATCCAAGATGATGTTCTCCGCTGTGTGGCGACCTCCACTGTCTACATGCCTGATTTCGGCCACAGGTCTTCGGGTGGTCTTTGGTCGACCTGAGCAGGGCAGGACGATCTCCGAAAAACACGATGTTAATCTTCTCACGATTATTCAAGATTGATTCAAGGGGTCAAAGCCCCTGAAAAATGAAGCTTAGTTACCCTGAAATAACCGATCGTTATGACGGTGATCCAACGCTGTCGTATGCTGTCGTATGTATATGTACATGCATATCCATGTCAGGAACTTCAAGCAAAATTGGCTTAATCCCCACGACACAAGACGCGATCGATAGAACTTGACCTTATTTGTCTAGAGCCTCTTCTGAACCGCAAAACTAGAGGACGGAGAGCAGCTCACAGCGCAGGAGAGTCGGTATTCTATCCAGTGATATCTGCTGCCGGGGTGAAATACACATGCTTGATCTTTGGAGTCGGTAACAGCACCGACACCAAGGCCGGAAGGCTTCAAGTTCGTGAGAACAGCCGACGGAGACCTGCCGGGGAAAACCGCGCGCAACTATGACATACTGACTGCACTCTATTCAATTTCGAGCCTGCAAGTCAGGACAATCGATACTACTACCAATACTAATAGTACAGTACTTCGACTAGTGCCCAATCTACAGTACATGCTCATTGCTTATGACAGGCCGCCAATACTTAGATGTCGTCCCAATCATTCGCGGGGAAGCACCGCTTCCCCACTACTAGGACCGGAGGAATAGTTTAAGAGAGAAGATATACTTCCGGTCCTTTCCACCCAGGCTGTCAGTTTCAAGCGACCATTGCGCTTGCTGGATATTACTGTAGTGAAATGTGCGAACACCAAACGAACATCCGAAAACGAGGTGAACGGGCTCTGAACTATCTCAGGTGTTTTCGTGCAGCCTTCTAACCACTGATCCAGGTAACATATACATGATTCAGATGCATACAGATTGATTGCGATTAACTATAGGGATGTAGAAGAGGTAGCCAAGCAATGCACAACAGCGTCCTGCCAAGATCCCTAATTGAATTGGCACCGTCCTGCTATGCATCTTTCAGGTCGTCGCGACCGCGTGACCTCCTTCCCGCCGTTCCCGATGCCATGGGCGACGCCAGAAGCTCAAGTGCACGATTTTCTGCGCCAAGCGCTCTTTGTTCTGTCCAGACCCTGGTGACATCGATATGCCGACCTTGCTTCATTTGGCATGGGCGTCGGACCTGCCTCATACGTACTTAGCGCCCATGCGCACCTCGGAACAGAAATTCGTCGAGAACTCGAAGATTCGAATCAGGGTTCTTCCTCCTCCCCCACCCCCCGCCTCGTTGCTTCGGCTACGGTTGTTACTTTCTAGCAGTCGCAATGGCATCCCGTATAAAGTCGGCAGCAATTCATATGGACCTCTGATCCGTAGCCCGTTCTCAGTGCTGCGCTCTCGTACATACTCGAAGTAACAATGCCGATCGCACAACTTCAGGATGTCACTGGACGGACTTTCGATTATATCGTCGTAGGTAAGTAGGCCGGAAAATTCAGAGTAACACCAGATGCCTTACAATTGGTCGATCCGCTTGTGTAGGCGGAGGTGTAAGCACAGTTGGAGATGTACCCCCCGCAGAGTGGACTCACATGTATGGCAGACCTCGGGATTATGTATTGCTGCAAGACTTACGGAGGACCCGAACGTGCACGTGCTCGTCCTGGAAGCTGGAAAGGCCAATATAAACGATCCTCTACTCCGTCAGTCCATCCCAAAAAGACCGCGTGTTGTGCATCAACTGATGATCCCCGATAAGTCCGACCAGCTTCCTACGCTGCCCAGTTCGATAACCCCGACTATGATTGGAGCTTCAAAACCGTAAGTCCCGGTAGCGTATGAAGAGCGGCAGCGCTGAAAGTACCCTAGGCTCCCCAGAAATACGCCAATGGGACCGAATACCCGTGGGCTCGGTAAGACACTTCCTTCTTGCCCGGGGTTAACACACGTATCCTAACAGAATATGCTGGTATGCAGAGGCAAAGGTCTCGGTGGGAGCTCCGGCATCAACTTCATGTGTTGGACGAAGCCTCCTGCAGACGAGATTGACGGTATGGCACCTCAGACTATGCTACTCTGGACCACCTTACACTGACGGGCATGACAAGACTGGGCTCGTTTGGGCAACCCCGGCTGGAACTGGGAGAACTACCAGAAATACTCTCATCGGACGGAAAAGTAAACACCTGCTCCCTCCTCTCGCCACATCTCACTAATCTGCAACATGGCAGGTGCGTCTACCCTTCAGAGGAGGTCATCACCAAGCACGGTCTGAAAGTAGAGGGCTGGCGCAACGGGACGGATGGTGCGTTTATTTGTTTGAGCGCTCTCAGACGTACGTACATACAATGCGCTGAATACTCGTAAAGGCCCGCTATTGACGGCGTTCCCCGCCAAGATTAGTGCGGCTGAGTTGGATGTCCAACAGGTAGGTCGTCGACCAGAACAGCTGTCGACTTTGCAATGAATGCAATCTCTATCAGACTTTGATCAACCGCGGCATACCCCTTGCACCAAAACCCGTGAGTTAACATGTACGAAAGCCGACACTGAGTCCATACTGAGCCCGTGATTTAGCTTGATGGAGATGTAAGAGACCTTACCCGCGACGCGCTCGTTCTGTACTGACATACCAGCTAGTGTCGCGGTGTGTTCTTCGGGACAAACACCGTGGACCCGAAGACTTCTACTCGTAGCTACGCCACGACGGTACGCTCTCCACATCCACCAAAAATGACTGCTCATGGGAATATATCAACACAGGCATTCTTCCTCCCGAACAAAGACAGGAAGAACTTCCTCGTCCTCGTTGAAGCCCGCGTGAACAGGCTCGTGACGGAGAAGGACAAGGACGGGCTAGTCACTGCTTCCGGCGTCGAGTTCTCTGTGAACGGACAGAACTACTACGTGCACCCCAAGAAGGAGGTGATCGTAGCCGCCGGGCACGTATTGTCGGACTTGTAGTCTCCTCGATTACTGTACTTACAGCCCTCACAGAGGTCTCAAGACCCCTCAGCTACTGGAGCTCTCCGGGATGGGCAACCCCAAGCTGCTGAAACAGCTTGGGATCCCGTTGGTCCTGGACCTACCGGGCGTGGGGGAGAATGTGCAGGAGCACTGCTTTATCGGGACGACATGGGGTGCGTCCCGGAATCGTATGAGCCTGTCTTACTTTGTTCAACTTATGCTTCTTTTTCTCCAGAGCTGCGCGACGACGTGTCCTTTGAGACGCTCGACGTCCTCCGGGACCCCAAGATCGCAGCCGAGCACCTTGAGTTGCAGTACGTCGTCCACACGCACTGGTCTGTCTCATGAACGCCCTGATCCGCATCTCCGCACAGCAAAGCCGCGCAGGGCCTGTTCACGATGGGCATGGTCGGCTTCTGCTTCGTGCCGCTTCAGATGCTGTCCAAGCGCGCTGAGGAGATCCACAAGAAGGCGCGGGAGAAGATCCTGAAGAACGAGGACAAGTATCCGCTCGGGCTACTCGCGCAGTACCGGATCCAGCTCGAGCGCCTCGAGAGGCAGTCACCCGGGTGCGAGATGATCCACTTCCCTGGGTTCTTATCGAGGCCGAGTGAGTTGAAGTTCATTCACGTTTCGCATGGGCGAGAGAGGAGAGGCTAATTTGATGTGTAGACCCTCCGAAGGAGGGGAAGAAATATATCACGATGCTGTCGTTGATGAATCACTTCTTCTCAAGAGGGACGATTGTGAGTACTCGCTTTGACTTGGTTACAAGGAGTTGGAATTCACGCGTGAGCTCCATAGCACTCGAAGTCAAGGGATCCCGCCGAGGACCCAGAATTTGACCCCCACTACTTCGAGGAAGACATCGGTGAGTAGTAGCAGAGCGATCGCAGGACCCTTCAACTAAGGACATTTAGATCTCGAGACCTTCATCGAAGCGGTCAAGTTCGCCAGGGATCTGCCCAAGACGGAGCCGTTCAAGAGCTTGGTCGGTGAGTATCAGCCGTAACTCAAATCTCGACCCTATTCACAGGCCTCGGCAGTCCAGGAAGTGAATCCCGGACCCGAAGTGCAGACTGACAAGCAGATTGGGGACTGGATCAAGGCGAACATGTCGACGACATACCGTGGGTTTCCTTCGCGCCCTGTAATCTGATAAAGAGAGCTGATTCCTCAGCGTGATTATCAGATACCGCGGGCGCATGCTCGATGCTGCCGAAGGTCCACGGAGGCGTCGTGGACCCCAAGCTGAAGGTGCGTTCTCTATATAACAGCGGAGGGATGTGAGGGTCTGAAGATACTCTGCAGGTATACGGCACCAGTAATATACGGGTGGCCGATATCTCCGTCATACCCTTGCACTTCGCGTCGCATACCCAGGGTAAGTCCGTAGGGAGAACATGCGGGGTGGTCGCTGACTTGGCAGGTGATGTCCGTAGCCACCGTCTACGCCATTGGAGAGCAAGGTATGACGCTCAGCTTCGGTCCACGGAGATGTTGGCTCAATGATCCTTCTAGCCGCCGACATCATCAAGGGCCGTGCATAAGGTCGTCTGCGACTTGCACACGCTGCGGAACATGAATACTCGTGGGTGGATGGCTGCGAGGATTTGGTTTTTATGTCAGGAATAGAACTCATGATATATCTTCATCTTTGGATTTCTCTGCTTAGATTTCACGATATACCTTACGAAGCTCAATGACAGGAAATGTTCGAGAAGTACAGCCAGTGCTGGGAATGCACAGCCCGTCTGCACGAGTCTAAAATGAGGCATGAGGTGTGGCAACTAAACCACCTTCTTTCATTTACGAGCTATGTAGAGCATACGAAGGAGTTCCATTCCTTCAGTCATCAGGAAAGTCAGTCGATATTCCGATGAGCATTCTGGTAAATAGAGAGGTGCGAGAGGCGTCCATTCCGAGTCCAGGCCGAGGGAAAGTATGATTACCAAAAGCGGCAATCAAGCCGAAGCTATGTATTCCCCTGTATTCCCCTCCTGCCAAAGGTCCCGGAGATATCTTTGGGCACCATGCAACGCGTCTATTTCATCGCCTTCTCCGTCGTCGTCGTCGACGTCGACGCCCACCCGACGAGCTCGAGTCGATAGGCGGCACCCCCACAGGAGCTGATCCGAGGACGCCGACCAGCCAAGTTTCAGTAGGACAATTAGCACTTCGGGCGCCCCTTCACAGTTACATAACATCGCGAATATCATGATGCATCTGTCACCTCGTTCCCGGCCACCACCACCTGCACAGACTGCTTCGAGTTCTACAGCCGTGGGCGACGCGGACGACGAGAAACGCCTGCTCATGGAACCGTTCAGCAGCGAGGATTGGAGGGGCGCCGACGAGAGGCAGGCGTTGAGGCCGGAGCCCGTGCTGCCGCAGGGCGCCATGCGACCGAGGAGCAGTCACAGCGGGACGGTGCCGACGCTCAGTTATACCCCAGTTAGACCTGCGTCGCCGTCTTCTGAGCCGTCGCATACCCCGGAGCCGGACAAGGTGCAGTTTGCGACGTACCCGCCCGATGAGAAGGCGAAACCTTGGGACGCGGAGCCATCCGGTACGTCCAGGTGGTGTCCGTCATGCAGTGAAACACCGCTGACTCCTGTCCAGCGTCGAGGAACGGCAAGGGCAAGGGCAAGAAAGACATCGCCTGGTTACCCGTGCCTCTGCGGACATGGTTCTGGGTGAGCTTTGTGGTCGACCTGGTGGCGATAGCAATCGCCCTCGAAGTAGTTCTCTACTTCACGGACAAGAATAACGGTACGTCTTACTTTTTCCAGCACGTTGCAAGTCGATGCGGCGTTTCGAAACCCGCACTATGTGAACGAAAACGGTAGCGCCGCCAGTCGAGCACCAGATCTGCACCATTTAGGCGAAGGGTCACATTAGGTGGCCTTTCGGAGGGGTTTGGCACCGCATATTTGTATTCTGGCCTGTTGTTGGCTGGAGAGAGCGATGTTCTGGCGGTGCCGTCCGCGGCGCCTACCAATATGGTTCGCATATCGAAGGTCTCTATTCCGCATCGACTTGTAACAATATCATTGCAGGAGGTACAGAGATTCACGTTATTATGCTTCAGGATGGCCGGTGCGCGGCGCCTTCTCGTCCCAAGCAGGCTTCATGCACTATGTATATGTAAGTTACACTTCGCATAGCGGTTATATGCAGCGTATCAACAGACCCGTGATCCGTAGACTCTCCCTCCAGTCGCTGTTGCAATGATCCTCGTCGCGATGTGGGCTTGGGCAGACGTCGAAATCAAGAAAATGCAGGTAGGTGAAGTCTGACACCAGATGTAACAGCCAGACCTCATTAACTTGCTATCGTAGCCTTACGTCGACCTTGTACACGGTGACGCGCCTGCACATCGGAGTGTGTTGTTAGATTACACCAGGACCAAGTAAGTCTCGCTATTCACCATTTCACTGGTTCCAACCAACGCGGTGTTTCACAGCAACTTCATCGTGTGGCTGCGTGCTGCCGCGAATAAGCACTACATCGTAGCGCTAGCGACGTTGATGGTTATCCTGTCGCTAGCGCTACAGCCCCTAGCCGCTGCTCTCCTCACCGTCCGGGATACGTGGCTCTCAAAGCCAGGTACGTCTCAGCAATGCAATCCAGCGGTGGGATTCTCGTGATTCATTGTGCTCTGTATAGATCAAATCCTGAATAATACCGCGGTGCTTGCCCTGAACCAGGACGACCAGTTCTGGGACGTGACTTGTATGTATACAGTAATAGTCTGCAATGTTTTCGGGCAGGGCGCTGAGATTTGTCGCACGTAGCATTCTTGACTGCAGCGGGCTACTCGTCGGCTTCGGTTTTGTACAGCCTCGGCGACCCGCACTTCGTCCACAATGGCTACACGGTCGCGCCGTTCCAGGTGTGTACGGGCATTGTTCCCTGGCAACTGCAACCTCATTGCCCTCCGTACAGTTGCCGACCTACCTGGCGACCAACGGGACCGTGTACACGAATACTACGGCTGTCCTGAGTGACCCCGGATGCCAGCCTGCTCAATCGGTACGCAGATACGATGGGTCTCTTCAGGTTAGCGGCTCATTCGTATATGACTGTAGATACAAATGACACACAACACGAACAACGACACGTGGACTATCAGCGCCGACTACCCGGGCTGCCCGTACACTTGGGATGTCTCGCGGGTGGCAGAGAACCTGTTCGGTGAGCTCTCCAGCATCTCATCGGCATTCCCAGCTTGACATCTTCCCTCTAATCAGGTGTCGCGCCATGTAACGTCCCAGGCGACACCACTCCAGACTTCCTGCGGCCCGTGCTCTTCTGGTACTTCACCTATGTGCCCAGCGCGATGTCGTCCATCACGTTCTGCAAGCCGACCATTTCACTGTACAACGTGGCCGTCACTGTGGACCTCGCGTCGGGGAACCTCACCTCCGTCACGCAACTGTCCCCACTGAAGGTGGGCCAGGGGAACTTTACCGCGTACGCGGGGAATATCACGGGGTCGCCGCTGAACGGTGCCGCGTACAATGGGATCGCGTATAACCTGAGCAACCCGGACCCGTTCACGATGGCGCGGGTGAACGCGACGCAGCTGACGCTGCCGGCGGCGGTGTTCCAGAGCGCGACGACGAGCGCGCAGGGCCTGACGGGGGTGTTTACGAACAACGGGTTTGTGGGACTCACGAATTCGGTTTATGTGCGTCCGAGTCCGGTGGGTAAATGTGCTAATGCTGAAGTGTGTTTGTTCGCAGAGGACGTACTTGGCGCTGGTGGCGAAGACGGTGTATTTCGTGCCGAACAGCGAGCCGATCACGCTGCAGGTGAAGACGGTGGAGAAGCGGCTTTGGCTGAGCAGCGTCGCGGTGCATCTGCTGACGACGGCGTTGCTCCTGCTGGCGTTCTTTGGGACGATTGTGCAGCTGTTGCACCGGGGTGATCGGGCGAACCTCCGACTTGCCCACGAGCCTGGTGAGTTCTTATAAACATTTGCAGTACATCTACTAATCTACTCCAGGCACCATCGCGTCCGCTGTGGTGGTCGGCGCGCAGACGAACATGGGGGAGTTGCTGTCGGGGCGGCAGCGGAAGGAGGAGATCATCCAGGCGCTGCGGGACAAGCGGTTCCGGATCAACCCGCGGACGATGAAGATCGTGATGGAGGGCGAGGAGGGCTACGAGGAGGCGGCGAGCCCGGGGCCGCGCAGGTCAGTGTTTGCGGCGGGGCTGCTGGACCTGATGAGCCCGCACCCGGCGAGCAGGCGGTTCTCGAGGCCACCGCCGATGCCGCAGACGCCGCCGTAGGACGGTGTGTGTCCCTGTGCGTGTCGTTTCTTGATGTACGTGTTTGTGATGATCATTTGTTCGTCAGTTGGTGTTTTGTTGGACTTTGTCATGATGGTTGTAGCCTACTTTTCCATGAACTCAAAGGTCCTAATATACACGGACTTTATGTTAATATTGTCGGGGTAATATCGAGCGCTGAGCTGCAAGGTTTTAGGCGTTCCGCCGGAAGGGGATTGCGCGCTAAAATTGGACAGGATGTGCCATTCCATCATCGTACTATCATTTGGGTAGTTTTGCAAAACTCTCTGTAAATCGACGTGTTGCGGCCAATTCGCTAGCTCTTGCGCCAAAACGTTTTTATGGCATCGTGTAGCACCCTTTTATGTACCCAACTGTGATTTTTTTGTATTTTAATTCATGGTGTAGAGGATGCTGGACAGATGCCGGGGTGTGCAGGGGGTTTTGCAAAAGTTTGTCACGCGTGACATCCCCGCGAGATTCATCACGTTTTTGTCACGATCCGCCTCTCGGCGTTTTGCAAAACAGGTTTGCTATAGCTACATCCTCTATCTCTCCACAATCGGGCTGCTTAGGTAGCTCAATGTATGGTACACCAGTATAGTCCAAACAAAATCCCGGCAAAAAATCATGGAATGGGTACCAGATCTAGGTTTCACACGGTCTGTAGGCAGTTGCAAACACCCTCCTCTTCCTCCCTCTCCATGACCACTCGATATTTCCCTAAACCAACTTCACAGAGGGTATCTACTAGTCTATATCTACATGCCTAAGAAGTCTCTGAATTTTTTTATTTGGTATAGAGCTCTCTCTAGGGGCTGCGGTAGTTTTGCAAATTTTGCAAAACTACCCAAATGATAGTATGCCAAGAATAGAGCGGAATGAGAAGTGCTCGGCAGAATGAAGTGCAACGCTGAGAACATATGTCGGAAAACGTCGCAACGCCTTTCTCTTCTCACCACTACTTTCTTGTCTCTTGTCTGTTGTCTGTCGGTTGTTTTCTTGCAAATCCCAGAATAAAATAAAACGATGTTCAGCCTGCCCACCGCCGTCTCTCTTTTGTTTCTTGCACTGGCCGAGGCTGCGCGTGCATCGCCATGCCTCGCGTTCGACGCCAACTTCAACCTGCACGTCTTTGGCCTTGACGGTAAAGACTGGAATGCGGGTACTCAGGACCAGTGGACGTCGGGTACGCCTTGTTCCTGCTCACTACTTACGCCGGTGGAACTGACTCCTGAATCCAGGTAGTGCGACGGACATAACTACCTCTGGCCGACCGTAGGTATTTTGCGACGTGCGCAGCAGACTAGTCCTAACTGAGTTGCAGACCCTTTGATGGTTCGAATACGACGTGCTACCTCGCTCAGGTATGCATCTGGCAGAATGTTGCGTCGAGGATTGGTCTGACAGCAAGTTTAGTTTTACAATGCCATCTACGTCATGAACGGCGATAAATCACAGCCTTCTGCTGTCCACATCTACGATGCGGGGGCAAAGTCATGGTCAACTCAGTCCGTCACCACAGGCGGTTTTGACCCGTCCAACTTCGTCACCATTCTCGACCATGATACGAACGTCTTCTGTGAGTTTGAACAAGTTAAGCCCTGTAGGAACTGTCGTGCTAACCAATACCATATAGACGCGCTTTCCAAGGGCGAGTTATACTTCTTGGACATGGGTGCCCTCACAACGGCGAACAGCTCTGCCCTCACCTGGAATGACGTCGGAAAGCCCTCGTTCTCTACAGATAACTACCAGCCCGTCATGGCCATCGCGCAGAACCACGTACACTTCCTCGATGTGCCAAATGTCCCTGCTGGAAGTGCCCAGATTTTTGTGATTCACTGTTTGTGTTTTTTCTTCCTTACCCACTTCAAGTTCGGAGTAGCTGACTATCCTCGCCTCTAGTCTCATACTTCCAGCCCGAGGCGCAGTCGTACTCCGGCGACACATTCCCCGCGACACACGGCCAAGCGACTTCGTTCTTCCAGGAGTCTGGCGTGAGTATCTTTACCTGCACCTGAACACCATCCCCGGCTCACCCAGTCATCTCGCTAGGTGCAACAAGAATTCGCGTTCATCCCCGATGACGGCTCGGCAACCTACGTCATCAACGTAGAGGTCCTTTTTCCTCCCATCTCTTCCTCTTCCTCCTGCTCACACCATCACCCAGACAAACTCCTCGACCGCCCTTGCAGGTCCCACCATCAAAGACTCCTCCGCGACCTACTTCGCCGGCATCTCCTCGCTCGTGCAGCTCGCTTCCGACGGTACCGTCTCGTACCTCCCGTACAAGCAGGGCGACGCGCAGACGAACAAGGCCGCGTCGTGGAACAAGGTCACCGCCATCGCCGCCGTCGCGCCCCCGTCGAACTCGAGCTCTAACAGCGTGTCGGGCTCTGGGAAGGCCGGCGCGAGCTCGACGGGTAGCAGCGGCGGGGCGAAGCCAAGCGGCAGCGCGGGCTCGGACCAGAGCAACGGCGGCGCCGTGGGGCGGCAGGTGAAGGCGGGCGCCGTGGGCGCGGCGCTGCTCGCCGTGCTCGGGTTTGCTCTGCTTTGATTCTAGACCACCGACATCTGACTGGGACTATCAACCAACATTAACATCTACTGCATTTTCAACTAAGTACGCACGGACGTTACGACTATTAATCGCATTTGTATTTGCCTATTCCGTGCATTTTTCGGATTTCCCCTCGCTTTCCGTACCCTCCTTCCCCTTACCTACTCGTTCATACATATGGAACACTTCCCTTAGTTAACCAAGGTGTCGGTAGGCTATACATATAATATAGGCTACGGATGTCTAGACATAGCTATGAGAATGTAGTATACATGGTTGTGGAATTTCCAGCTAGCAATGTTTGCGGTACGCTTGTTCGACCGCTTCCTCAAACTTGGGAGTATCACCAAGATGTATACCCTGCTTGCCGCCGGATGATATACCCCTTCATCGGACGTGAGGATGGTACAATTCTAACCGATTAGCTCCGAGGACGAGACTCACCTTGGGTGTCTCGACATACTCCAAGCCCTTCTCGTCGAGGTGTATCATCCAGTGCCTGTGCACTAACATCTCCAGCAGCGCCTGTAGCTTACCAATATCCAGCTCGCCCCTCACGTAGTTCGGCGACGGGCGGCTCGTGTTGAACAGGCCGCGCATGCGGCCCTCTTCCACCATGTTGAGCTGGAACCCGCAACCCTGAGGGCACGTCCAGATGAGGTCAGCGCCGATGCGGGCCCGCTCGAGACCCCAGGGTGGGTACGAGTCGAGGATGTCGGGGTCGGGCGAGGAGAGGGACGAGGCGGAGGCGCTGGAGCTTGGAGAGGAGGGCTGGGAGAAGTCAGAGTCGTAGATGTCGCCGTGGTTTGGGCGGGGTTTGCTGAGTCGGGGCCTGGCATTTGGCCTCACGAGGGGCAGGGCGGAGGGCTGCTATCGTCAGTGAACAAGCGGGTGGTGAGAAGGGAGAACCTACTGCGCTCCGTTTCGTTCGTCCGGAAGGCTCGGGTTGTATTTCTGGGCTTGAGCTATGCTGCCGGGGCGGATTCACTTCCATCTCAACTTCTTCCTCCTCGTCTTCCTGGTCCTCTTCGGCGTCACTGGCATAGTACCCAGCGGGTACGCCCCACTGCACTCCGTGCCTACTTGCCTTGACCCGCTGGAGCTTCGCGTCCTTGATAAACGCATTCCACACGTCCAGATCGATGATCCGCCGCTGCTTCTGCCGCGCGCGCTGCTCGTCGCGGATCCACTCAGCGTGCTCCGCAAACGCGGCGTACACCTCTGCGCGGTGGACCTGGCGCAGCAGGCGCGGGCGGCGGAGGAGGCCCTGCGCGGGGTCGATGAGGTCCTTGTCGCGCGCCTTGCAGAGGAGGCGCTGCGTCTTGGCGTGCTCGGGGTAGGCGCAGTGCTGGAAGTAGCCTTTGACGAAGAAGGTGATGTCGCGCTTCGCAGGGGGAACGGAGGGGTCTTGCAAGGCTATATGCGTCATGGTATTGAGCAGGCGGTAGCGGTCGAGGTAGAGTTCGCTTCGGGTGTAGGTCTCGATGTCCATGCTGAGGACTTCGTAGTGCCGGTTCCTAGATAAAAGAAAGCGTGAGCGACAGGCCTGAAGGGTGGGATATGCACCTTACCGGTCTCTCGTCGTCAACATGAGACCCATTGGGACAAGGTCAGCTAGTTAACATCAGAATAATCTCTTCCTAGAGCCTCCGGTTGTACCCACATGTAAGATAGCCAGCAGACATATTCTTGTAACCTTGTATCCACACTCGCACTTTGTCGCCTCTTGCGATCGGCGACTTGTAGATGAGACTCAATGACGGACATGGCGCAGTGCCCTTGTTCTTCTTGCCCCATTTGCGGCGGATGCTATCCTGGAGCTGCTTTTGCCCCTCGGCCGTGATCCACGAGAGGTTGCCGATTTCGAGGACGCCTCTGAAACGGACGGGGTCTGTCGGGCGGGACTCAATATTAAGCGGCTCCAATTCAGTCAAACTTGATAGCCGGAGTGGTTTGTGGATTTTCGGTCAGAGGATGAGAGTGACATACCCTGTAGGTTTCCCTCGGCATTCGAGCATCAGGCCTTTCAAGCTCAAGATCCTGCTTGGGGTCGTCTTGCACGCATCTGTGAGAAACTGCTCGTCCATGTAGGGCCCAAAGGGCTCGGAGATGAGTTCGCGGATATCCATTGGCAACGCAGGCGCAGATATGGGCTTCAATTCTGTTCGATTCTACAAGCAAAAGCTTGCGGTAAGAATAGCGGGCAATGATCCTACGCCAAATTACAAGCAAGGCTAATCACGATCGGGTAAGCATAGTGTCGCAATGCTTGACGGTGCAGCATCACAACGCGTTTGCCGGTTAGAGGCTCACATCGAAGTCCCGACCCATCAAGCAATGCTACAGTTCGCTCCTCCAACGTGACTAGCGGATGAAGCACGTATGTGCTTGCTTTCGAGCTTGGAGGCAACAAACGAGGCCAATAGTGTAGGGTAGAAGGCTCACTAAAATCAATCAGAACTGATTCCTGGCTGGGAGAAGAGGTAACAGGAAGGATATTAATATGCAAGCAGATGTATCGCGGCGCCTCAGGTCGGTATCGGTAGGCTAGTGCATATTTCCGATACAGCATAGGGAAGTCCCCCCTTAGCCCGCTTTTGGAAGTGAACCCTACCCAAACGAGTAGCTGGGGCGCCGCAGCAGTGGTAAACCACGTGCGTGGACCTTGCCGAATATACGGCAAGGAACTTCGTGCTGTTGACTCCCCGTTGTGCTCGCAGTACTATAACCTAGTAGTTGTAATTTATCCTGTAGATAATGTACCAGGAGGAGCTACTGAGCTTTGGGACTCCCCATTGACAGTAGGAGACAGTCTGAAAAGCTACAGTTCTCTCAGCGTGATTTTTGATCCCAGTAAGGCTTCTACTGGGCCACATTTAGTGCCTCGACCCCCCCACTTTAAAGAAATTGTGTACACGAGGTTCTATGCGCTCTTGCGCATTCAGCGCGTACGTTATAGGCAGTATAACCCTCGGTGTAGGGTAGAGGAACCGTTGAAGAGGTCGAGACTATATACGTGCCG